AACCTCTCAAAATAAAAAAAAAGTCTGGATTTAGACATGGGCCCCTCTGTTTATTAAGTATCTCAAATGCATGTTTCTATTTGGGGAACTTTGACTTCCACAGGTACACTATTTAATATCAGTAATCCCAGGTGAGATCAAAGGTCAGAATTGATCTATGTATTTGCTGATGCAAAACTTCCACCTGTGTGTCTCATGAGGCACGTATGTGGAGCTGTTATTTAGCTAAAGATGGAGTTTAGTGAACCATGCATCATATTTATTTCAACACAGGATAGTTTATGTGTAATGACCCTCATGAACTGAAGGTTCCTCTGTAAAACATAATCACCAGAATAACAGATAAAGTATCAGAGTGTTGAAAAGTCACTAACCTGGTAGGAATAGAAATAAAAGGAAAAAGGGTTTCCAGGAAAAATGGGATGGTGGAGAAATGTGAAAGGTTACAAATACTCGCAAACTTACGAAGTTGAGATTGTGACATTCAGAGCAGTTTCCCACAAACTTAATTTTTCAGTTTTGATACCTAAACACAGACATCTGGAGAGGGAAGACTTTCTCACAGGACTAAGTTTGGTGAGCAGCTGTGGAGAGCTTATAATGGCCTATGAAAATTAAGGTATTTCTAAAACTGTCTGTCCTGTTTCATGTCCTGCAAGATTTTTTTCAGGAATAATTGGATGCAATATTGTCTGATATTGAAAGATGTTATGCAAGATTATTTTCCCAAATGATCTTAAGGTATACTGTTCTTTCAGAATGGTGCCTTTCAAAGTGTGGTCCCCATACTAGCAGCCTCAGTACCACCTGGGAACTTGTTCGAAATGCATATTCTTAGGTTCTACCCAGATCTACTGAAGAAATTCTGGGGAAGTCCTGTCACTCTAAAGTTAAACAAACCCTCTCTATGTGGCCGATACACACTGTATCTTCTACTTGAATGTAATTAACAAATTTAGGTAAGAACTTAAGTGACTTAAGTGTGATGTAGGTCTAAGAAATCCTCTAAATTCCTAAATAAATAAATAAAACTAAAGACTGGATGCTAAGGCAAAGGAGCTAAGCTGAAAAAAAAAATGGGCTAGAGGGACTCAAAATGAAAGCTAAAAGAATCTATGACAAGAATAAAAGATACTGAATGAAAGAAGCTCTTAGACTCTGAGCTGCTGTCTAGCACAAAGGTGATCTTTATGGTAATGAAGCTGTAGCAGCATTGGGACATTCTTCCTATTCTTCATCATCATCATCTAGTGGGTAAGAATGCATGATCTCCAGACTCTGGCCAAGGGATCTACAAAGATCATTTAATTTGTTTATTTTTGTTTTTATTTATTTTATACATTCAATCACTATATATCACTTAGCTTGTATAGTGAATTTATCCAACATGAATATACTCACACCAGTCCAGTTGAAGATAACTATACATGTTATCATCAACAGATAATAATCTCTTTCTAGTGTCCCATAAATGTCCTGCCTCTCTATTTTTCTCCTTAATTTTTTCCCTCATCCTCTCTCCCTTCTCCCATGCTTTTCCAACACTGTCTTCAGTATCCCTAACCATTTCCTGTGCTTCTATATCCTCTAGTCTTTCAGTTTCTGCCACAGAGCATGGACAGTCGTTATGTGTTAAGTGGGGACATACAACGTCTCTCTTTCATAGCCTGACTTGCTTCACTCAGCAGTAAATCTGTAAATCTTCCACATTTGTCCACCTTCTTTCAAATGCCAGAATCTTGTTCTTTTTTTTTTCTTTTTTTATGACTGAATAGTATTCCATAAAGTATATGTGCCACACTTTTTAAATCCATTCATCTATTCGTGGACATTTGGGTTGATTCCATGTCTTAGCAATTGTGAAGAATGCTACAATAAACATAGATATGCAAGCACTGTTTCAACTGAACATTCTTTTATCTTTTGGGTAGATTTCCAGGAATAGAATTGCTGGATCATATGGTAGTTCTATTTGTAGACCCTAGAGAATCCTCCATATTGTTCTCCACAGTGGCTCATTTAATTTAATCCTTCCAATAAATTTAGGAAGATTTAAAATTTGACCTCTAATTTACATATGACAAAACTGAACCTTAGAGAAGTTAAATTGTTTACCCCAAGTTTATTTACATAGCAACAAGGAAAACCAAACTTTAAATCAGACAGTGTGACTGAAGAACCCGCTTTCTTAACTATTATTTTTAAGTGTTATGTTTTAACACCTTTGGGCAGAGGATATTCTCAGTACTGGGTAAGAAGAAACACTACAGTATTTATTTAATGTCTAGTTAAGTAGGATTTACAGGTCCATGAAGAACCTTCCAGGTAATATATGAAAAAAAAAAATCAAAAGGCCCTTAGATTCTGAAGAGAGGTGCTAGAAGTTGGGTAAAAGGGGGACGTCAGTCATACCAAGGAGCAGAATCTTTAATGTGGTGAAAACCATGTAGAGTTGAGGCACAGAACAGGAATCAGTGGGAATCACGTGAATAGATAAAACCCCTGCAAACTGCAAAGTAGAATGTCCCAAAGGGAGGTGGTTCAGCCAGCTGGTATGAGAGAGCAAATGCTAACATATATCAAATTGTCTAAAAATCCGCTTCCATGACTTAGGCTTGAGGAAGAGATCTTGTTTTTTGTTTTTTTTTTTTCCCCTGGCATAAATACAAACTTTGGTACTCATATTCTCTTTCAAAGCAGTGTGGTTAAGAAGAAAATACAATAATACACTGAAGCAGACAGATAAGAGTCTGAAATCCTTTTGCAGGTTTCTATTATCTCCGAACTTGAAGTTGTTGCATATATATAATACAATCACTAGCCCCTACTTGCTAGTAATAGTATAAGAATTAAGTAAGACAACAAGTAAATAGTACCTGACAATTACTAGGTTTTTCTCCATTTATTAATATTAAGTTAAATCTAATTCTACTTGAACTCTCATGGCACAAAGGTACACACAGTATGATTAACCTAGTTTTAGTTCTAATTCTCTTGAAATGGTCATATTTGTAGCCAAAAAGTACAGATGAAAAAGAAAAAAAGGCAGGACCATTGGGCCTTTACTAAAATCCCAGTCATAAATAGAAATCTTTAAAGTAGTCATTAAAGACCTAGCAGAAACATTCCATGCCAGTAGGACATATTCGTTTCAACTCTAAGTCTGTTTGGCTCTCAACTGCTCCCTGAATTTTCTGTGTAACCTTTGAATAAGTAACCTAAATTGAATGAATGTCTGTTTCCTCATCTAGAAACTGAGAAATATAATATTCAAATGTTCAATTTTTTTCAGTAGAGGGCAATACAAAATTTCTAGTTGTGGTCTCTAGGGTTTTTCTGTAAAGTTACTAAAATTGTGTAGAAATTTCATTATGCAATCAAACAGATTTTAAAGCCTAATCCATTATAAAGAAATATATTAATCAAAATCGATGAAGAAAAATCAAAGAATAATCACAAGATTATGTCATTTTTTAGTCATTAGATATATAAGCTAAGGAACTTAAGTAAACTGATTATCTTCCCTTACTTTACCATTGAAACAGGTAGAAATTACTTTGTGTTGAGGTGTTTCTATGTGTACATGTGGGTGTATGTATGACTATGTGTATGTGTGTGGTTGTTTGAGGAATTTGTATGTGAGTATGTATGTGTAAACATGTTTGCTTGTATGTTTTTAAGTGAGCTCGTAAACTAATCTACTGCCATATTTACAAACCTCTAGTTATGTTTATGTATGTAAATGGGCTGCCTGAGATCCAAGCTGGTGTTTGTTGCTTATGGAACTCAATTACTCTCTACTAAACTACAAGGAGAGCATTATGTTTTAACTAGGAAATTTGGAGGCCAGAAGATACACTTTTTAAAATCAATAAAGTGAAGCTGTCAGCTATTGCAAATGGACCAACATAGAGGTCACATGACTAACCCATCCTTTCACTAGGCAATCTCTGATGTATTTTAATCCAGTTTCAATCCATTAATCAGAGCAGTTGGGAGAGCAATAATTTAAATGTTGCAATAATCAATTTCATAACACATTCATAGAAGCTACAGTCAAACTTTGCCACACCACTGACTGCATTGGAATCTTGACAAGAGCCCTAGGGCCATGCCTAATTTGCATTAAATTTACATAAAATTGTAAATCAAGAATACATGGGCACAGACCTAATATTTGTTAGTGCTTAGATCTTTCCTGATAGATGGAAAAACTGCTGGTGGTTTGACTTCACTTGCAATAAAATTGTGCAGCTGATCAGCTTTGCTCTCATTCCGTAATTACAGGGAAAGGGACCCAAGAGAGCTATATTCTGGACGTATGTGTATGCCATTTAGGGATTTTATCCTGCAAAACTATGACTCAGGTATGTCCTTGGAAATCTGAATCTAGAAGCAAATTGTCCCCAATGATTTTGCAAATGTCTGTCATTTAATTTGATCACAAGTAGGTTGTCCTTAAGTGTAGATACAACCACATAGAGAGCTAGCTAGATGACTGAGAAGACATCAAGGACTCTGGGAATTTATGTATTTTTTCCAAAATAATTGCTGTCATGAACAAATATTTAGTAATAACCTTCAGACCAAGTACAGATAAAATCAAACTTACTAAAATTTGGCAAAGCATTCAGTACCAAACAGGCTGGGAAAGTGACTTCATGTGGTTCTAAGCATTCTGAGAGTTCTTGTGTTCCTATTTTTCATGGTTCCAACAGCTGTGGCTTTCACTGTGTGTTTTCATATCCAAAGCTAGGGAAAACATCCTTACCTAAGGGTACTGGCTTATAGTGGCAAGGGTACTGTAAATATATTCTCCTTAGTCTTCTCATCTCATGTCTATCTTTATAGAAAGCAAATAGATATCTAAATGCCAATTTAGTTGAAAGTATTTTTTGCTCCAAAAGGATGATTCTGCAAATATCTTGTACATCAGATCAATAATTATTTTCCACCTCCCACATCTCCCTTATCAAGCCCTTATTCAACCCTTTTCTTACCTTGCACAATCAAGTAAACTTGGGAGGTCTTGGGTTCATGCTGTGTTTGAACTGAGCAAGTATAGGAACCCTCATCATAGACATCCACCTTCTGGATCCGGAGGCTGTATTCCAGAGAATGGCGTTTCTCCAGCTCAACCCGGGGGTCCAGAGACCACTTGTCATGTCCAGCGAAAATGATACCGGAACGGTTCAACCAGGCCACCTTGGAGTTGTTGTCTTCTACCACACACCTGACAGAGAGAGCAACCACGTGAGTGCCTTACCCACAACAGTATCTGCTTTTATTCTCTACACAACCAGACTCAACAAGACTGATCAAGAAAAACAATTATATGCAGGATGAATCATTGTCATTCCTTAGAATACCCCTTAGAATACCAAGTATGTTAACTATTTCCTATAAGGTCGAATTGCCATCTTATGGATAGATGTCATTATATTAGTCTGAATTCAGCAATAAACAATGAATGTGAGTAATGTGATGCAGGCAAATAAAGCAAAGTGCGTATTGACTTCCCATTGGATTATTTCCTTCTTGTTTAGGAAAAGGTCATCCACACAGAATTCCATCTGTTAAGTAATTTTGAGAATTACACAATTGATATTGTGGCATTTTTACTCAGTTTTGAATAGCTTTTATCCTTTTGCAAACATTTTACATAGTCTTGCATGAAGTGGGTTTAAGTTATGTTCTACCCCTGTAGGAATAAAACTAGATTTCATTGTTTGCTTCTGATCCTCATGGGTTTAAAAATGCCCTTTTCCAGAAGTGATTAGTGTAAGAGCAGGTCCAAGGGTAAGTGACTTAGGTGCTCTGTCAAGGAAATGTAAGCAAACATCTTCTGACATTAAGTTTGGTTCTAGCTAAGGGAAGTAGATAAGTCGTCTTCTGGCAAAACATGTCACTACCATCATTTCTGGCACATTAGAATGACTTCATCCCATTATAGAAGATGAGAAAACCAGTTTTATAGTTTATATTCCAAGGAAGGTGAAGGAAAAAAATGCTTATTTGAATGATTATCTTTAAATAGAAACCAAACAGGGTCTCTTTTTGAAAACTGAATGGAAGGGGCCAAGAAAACACATTAGTGGTAAAAGCATAAATACTTCATGGGGAGTATGATTTTCTTCTTCAATTTCAGTAAGAACTGGACAATGTCAAAAGCAAGGGGAAAAGAAGATACTTCTCTCTGTATCCCTTTGGCAAGATTTATGTCTGCCCCACAGGGAGACTGTCCCAGACCCTGCTCACAGCTGCGGAACCAGCTGTTCAACAGGCTGCCGCATGAAAGGATGGACAGAAAGAGCCAGGAGCATGACCTCAGAACAATTAAAATACCACGTCCCCCTGTAATCTAAACCAAGTCAAGTACAGGTTTTCTCTGAGGGTCAAAACAACCAGGTATGTGGATTCCAGAACCAGACATTCACTGGAAATTGATGCATAACTTATAGACTGTCCACCCAAGAGACACAGAGGCCAATTTGCATTTCTCATAAGAAGGAGGAAAGTTGTCTTTAAAAATACCTCATTTATGGTACAGAAGATCTCTTTAACCCACTACTTTTAGGTGAATTATATATTTTATTTAGAATGAAAGTCTGATTTAATATTAATACGTTGGATGCCAAGATACATAGTTTTTACTTTTCTCCTTTACTTACTTGTTTTCATAATATAGCTGGATTTAGGTATCATTTTTAACTCTATTTCCCAGTATTTGTTTCTTTGTCATCCAGATTTTATTGGAAATAAATATAAGCATTTGATAACTTAGAACTCCTGTATGAAGAGTGCAAAGCTAGCTTCATGGAGCCTTGCTGCTTCTTTCCAGGATCAATTTTCCTTTTCCTTTTCTAGTCTTTTGTGGTATCATGTCTCTGTCCTTGGTGGTATTTGTAGTACCTCTTAACTTAGTCACGGACAAATCAATAAGCTCTTTGCTGTCTTCTTCTAGAATATTAACCAGACGGTTGAATGTAGATTTGTCATATATTTTTCTACTGAGAAAAGTAGAAATTTATATGTAGAAGTGTTTCTTAAATCTTCTATCACCTTTCCTTCTTGCACTTTTCTGGTCTTCACAGCACAACATCGCAATGTCCAGATTTGCTGCATCATGGAAACATACTCTGAAGGCCCTTTAGCCAGAACGTGGCCCTAATAGGTTCATTTAGAAAAAAAGATGCTATGTTCTACCTAAATGTGACCTATCAATCAAAGACAGAGATATTGCCTTATTTATTTTGATAACACCCAATACTAACCTGGGAGAAAATATGCCCTTGGTAAATGTCTGTCTCGTGAACTAACAGGACTGTGCATGGAGGTTTAGGCCTTACAGCTGCTGCAACTCCACGCCTATTCCCCAAGTTCTACAGCACCCAATACAGGTGGGCCAGATCTCCTATCAGCACAAGTGAAGAGTTTCTGTCAATAGTTGGGCTTTTCTGACATTTTAGTAATTTTTATCCATGGAAAAGTTAAAATCACACAAATTATTCCAAATTATTCTCTGACGGTCAGATCTTTCTCACCTAAGGAGATAATTGACTACTTCAGAAAAACTGCTAGACTTGTAAAAATGCATGCATCTACTAAAACAGTACATTAAGTGAAATTTTGTTATGACAATGTATATAGTATTTTATTTTTACTTTGATATCCCCTATGTTTATTTTGTAAATTTTACTGACAAACAAGTGAAAGGTATATTAGAATCCACACATACTTTTTATTGACTCTAAGTGTAGTCAAACACTAAGCACCAGGACACAACCTAGAATTTTGTTTTGTTTTTAAGAGATTTTTGCTATAGGGTGTTTACTTGTGCTCACCAGAGAAACAGAAAGCAAGAAATCACCCCCCAGGGAGGATGGACACGCCACAATCCCTTCTCCTCTCAGGATTTTGGGCACACATGCACTTGCGCCTGACATGGGTTTTAAGTCATCAAGTCTGGGACTTGAGCCAATTCCCATGTCGATGACTACATGGGAGTCCAGCAACGTAATCATTATGCCACGTGCTGGACTCACACAATATAGAATTTTTCTTTTTTTTTTGAGAGGTTTTTGCTATAGGGTGTGTGTGCTTGCCAGAAAGACAGAGAGAGACAGAGAGACAGAAAGCAAGAAATCACCCCCAGGGGGTATGGCCACACTACAATCCCTTCTCCTCCATTCTCTTCTCGGGATCTTGGGCATGCATGCACACGTGCCTGGCATGAGTTTAAGCCACCAGGTCCAGGACTCGAACCATGGTCGACAACATGGGAGTCCAGTGACATAGCCATTACACTAAACTGCTGGTCCTACATAATATAGAGTTTTTAAAACTTCTCCTGATCTTAAAGATTTCTTTTAATTTAGTCAATAGTTCTAAGTAAATGTATTGACCTTGTAACTAGCAAATAATCCTAAAATGTGACTAAAACTTTCCTAATAAAAAAAAAAAAAACGAACAAAGGAATAATGTAATTTTAGAGCTGATTTTTTAAAATTTTAAAATCTAATTTAAGGTCACAACTATATATTTTAAAGAACTTATTTAAAACTTATTTATTTCTTCCATGTGCAAGAGAAACAGAGAAGAGCTTGAACCCTGAACAGGGTCCTGATGCCTTGACCCACTTCCAGCTTCAACCTGTCCCAAACCATTGGCATGCATGTGACTACAAAGAATATCGCACTTTCCCACTGTGCCTCTGACTGGCCCCAGGGTGGCAACTATTTTGAACCGTAAAAGTACACATAAGGAAAAGATAGTAATCATCTCAGTATGTAGAATTCTGTAGTTATTAAATAACAATAACTAGTCACACTAGGTAGACCACTTCCCTATATAGAAGAGAAAAACGCAGATATAAATTCAGACCCAGTCTCCCAGCATTCACTAACTCACCAGTGAGCCTCATGGGCTTGCATCTCAGAGGTAAGTTGACTTAACTGTGCATTACATGTGTGACTATAGAGGAAATGAGAATACTCAGGCAATGCCATCATAATATGGTAACAACAAATGATTGCCTACCTAGAATGCTGCTTCTATACTTGAAAATTTAGTACAAAACTGCATACTTAATGATTTTATTTCCAAATTCAGCCTGGGGTAAAACAGGGGAAGTGTGAAATGAATTTTAAAAATCTGTTAGTGTTATATGTTGTTTTTGTTTAACAGACTATTTTCTTGAGAAGCTCATGATATGGCAAATAATTCTTAGATTTTGAAAGGTCTATATTTTAAAACAAGCAGGCTTTAGTGCCATGGGGTGGGGTCAGAAAATGTCTTTCTAAGGGGACCAGCAGTTAACATAATGGCTATGTTGCTGAACTCCTATGTAGTTGACCGTGGTTTGAGTCCCTGACCCAGTGACTTAAACTCACACCGGGTGTGTATGCGTGCCTGCCCAAGATCCCGAGAGGAGAATGGAGGCGAAAGGATTGTGGTGTGGCCAGCCTTCTGGGGGGGTGATTTCTCACTTTCTGTCTCTGTGTCTCTCTCTGTCTTTCTGGCAAGCACACCCGCCCTGTAGCAAAAACCTCTCAAAAAAAAAAAAAAAAAAAAAGAAAATGTCTTCTACTCCAGGTGGGTTTTCAAAAATCTTCTCTCATCTTCTTGCCCTTGATTCCTTCTTATGATCTCATTATATTCTACATTGCATTCAAGCTATTTGCACTCATCTTTTCTCACAAGCTTATTAAAGTCAGTGACCCTCTTATAATTCACCCACGGAGCCCTACCTGAGCCTAGCAACATGAATACCATCTACACAGTAGACAGTCAATGAAGTGATGAATGAATAGACTAAATGAATTACTATTAGGTCAATTATCAAATGTTTATTAACTATTTCACAGGTACAGAATAGATAAATAACTATCTTAACATTTCTTAAGAAATCATTAAATTTATCAGATACAAAGAGCATTGTAAAGAAAATTATGGAGTATGGTATTAAAATAAAAGTGATACAGAGGAAAAAAATATGCTCTCGTCTCTGAGAAAAGATCATCCCTGGGAACTAAATAATGTATATTTCATGTGAAAAGCTGAAAAGAAATATAAAACACTAACTAAAATGTTTAGTAGGTTGTCCACTTCAACCATGAACTTTCAAATGTCAGGTGGGTGACCTACCTTAACTAAAAGGCTATGATTTTTTTTTTAAATCAGTTTAAAAAAAAAAAAACAGGAAAGGCAAGCAAAGAAACTTTTATCTTCCCT